CCTGCCTATTTCTTGTTTAGATCAAAATTCATTGCATGGAAGATTTGGTTGCTTTGTATTGTGTATGCTACCCTTGTTTCCATTGGTTTTGACTGAACATTTTTGAAGCCTTTGTTTAAACACCATTTGCTATTAAATGATTATTATCTATTTATTCTCTAAATTAAAATAGTTTTTAAGTGTACCCTAGCATTTACTTTCTTCTGGGGTCTCTCTGATTATCCCTGTGTATTTGCACAGGATCATGATTTACCCAGTGTAGTTTGATCCCTTTCTGGACTGTCCATATAGATGAGTGAAGAGTGTATTGGGTGTTGCAAATGGTTAGCATGTTCAGTTACTAACTAAACAGTTGGGAGTTTGAATCTATTCAGAGGTGCCTTGCAAGAAAGTTTTGATAACCTACTTCCAGAAAAAAAGCAGCCTCTGGAAATCCTGCGGAGCATGTGGAATTGAGGTTGGAATGAGATGGAGTTAACTCTGTGGTGACTCTTGCTGATATTACTGTTAATATCAGTATTAACGGATACTGACTGCAACTTCAGGCCAACTGACTCACTCTTCTATTTGTTTGATAGCTTCTGTTCATGACAACAGTTTGGCATGGTCTCTTCCCCCCAGCCCCTTTTGTGCTTAAATCCAAATCAGGTCAGTTCCCCAGAAGAGAAATTTGTAAGTATGTGGGCTTTCAAGGATTGTCCGACCCTTACGTAGTAACCCAGGTGGGAAGAAAGATGGAGACAACCTCAGAGCAATATAGGCTACCAGAGTTCTTTCTTGAACTTGAGTGGTTTACAAGAGTAACCATTTATTTATTTGAATTTTCATCGGTTTATAGAGTTTATAGAGTCCTCTAATGATTGTCTTGACAGATTTCACCAGTTCTGCCATTGTTTTTTAGAGAAAGAATTTGTTGTAATAGGAATATATCTGTCTTTCTTTCTATCTGTCTGTATATCTATCTATCATGTATGTACATATAGATAAAAATATTTTTGGAGATTATTTTTACTGGAAACTGAGGAATACTTGAAGGGTTACTATTTTGGAAGTAGAGATTTAAAAGTAGAGATTTAAAAAATTTTCTTTTATACTGGTTTTCTTACGAAGCATGTATAAATTGTTTTTCACACTGAATTTTCCCCATTTCCTTAACCCACCCCTTCCCAAAATAGAGATTTAAAGTCGCATCATGGCACAAATTCAAAGACCATATAGAATTAAACAGCATATTTCTCTCATGTATCCCTCTGATTCTTTTTTTTTTTTTTTTAAGAATGATTTATTTTTTTAATGCAGCATAGTATTCCATTGTGCGAATATACCACAGCTTCTCTAGCCATTCGTTTGTTGATGGGCACTTAGGTTGTTTCCAACTCCTTGCTATTGTGAACAAAGCTGCAATGAACATGGGTGTGCATATATCTGCTTGGATGTCAGCTATGGTCTCTTCAGGGTATATTCCCAGTAGTGGAATTGCTGGGTCAAATGGTATCTCTATTTGCAACTTTTTGAGAAAGCGCCATACTGCTTTCCACAGGGGTTGCACCATTTTACACTCCCACCAACAGTGAATCAGGGTTCCAGTTTCTCCACAACCTCGCCAGCATCTGTTGCTTGCTGTTCTGTTAAATTTTGCTATTTTGACTGGGGTGAAATGATATCTCATAGTTGTTTTAATTTGCATCTCTCTTAGGGCTAGGGATTTTGAGCATTTCTTCATGTGTTTGTTAGCCATCTGAATTAAAAAACAAGGAACTCATGCAATATTATTCAAAATGGTTGACTCTGGAGAACATTATGCTGAGTGAAATATCCCAGTCACAAAAGGACAAATATTACATGATGCCACTGTTGTAGAATGGGACTGTCCTTGGGGTTAGGGAGACACTGAGTAAGATGGGTTCAGTAATGTATACTGCACTGAAGCAGAGGAGGGAGAGAACCGTCTAAAAGAGAGATGTAACTGGGTATTTCTGTCATCACAGGAGACTAGAGCGAGGGCTGCATGGTGGAGGGGACCTGGGGGAGGGTTTGTAAAACAATGAAAGAATCTTTTCTTTTACTTTTCCATAATTTTTGGACTCATGTACTTATAACTTGTTAGTCAAATTTGTGTCTTCTAGATTGCAACACCCCCATGATACATCTTCAAGGATATGTACATGTACAGCCAAGCACAATCAATAAGAGTGCATCTGAATTCCAAAATCAATCTCCATAATAGTCTATGTGTTTCCTACTGCCAAAGGGGCCCTTTAGAGTAGTGAGAGAAGATCTTCACCCTGAAACCCACAGCGTCCCTTTTCAGCAGGAAGTAGCTAAGAGAATACGCCGTCCCCTTTTCCTTATGACTCAGGGTGAAGTCTCTCTCAGGGAGGAGTGATAGGGAATGGCAAAGGATACACTGACAAAGAAGATTAATCAGAACTGGCTTTGACAAGCATTGTGGCATTTGGACAAGAACAAACTGGGAGGAGGGTAGAGAGAATAGTGCAACAATGAATGAGTGGAAGCCCAAAATCTCTGTAAATGTTTATGAAAATTAATAAAATATAATTATAGAAAAAAAAGAAAAAAAAAAAAGAATGATTTATTTGTTTTCTTGCTGTGTGCTGTCCAATCGGATCCAACTGGCACAGGAGGAAGTTGCCCCTCCTTTTCCAGGAAAGTATCAGGTGGATTTGAACCATGCACCTTCAGTATTGCAGTGCAACTTCCTGCCACTAGGTCACCAGAGCTCCTTATCACTCTGATTCTTAAAGGACAATTTTTGCTTCAATTTTGTTTCATTAAAGACTTCTTTATTGTTTAGAGTTTCTCTTGTGAATAGATCTTATATTACATCAGCTAATCATCATCATCTTCATCATCACAGTGGTCAAACATTTGTTGAGTGTTTACATTTTCTGAAAATACATGCAAAAATCATACCAAAATTTTTTTTCCATTCTCTGGTATACTTAAAAATTTTAAGACTTGGGTGTTTTTGAAGAATAACTTATAGTTATTTTCTTTTTTGAGAAAAATTCAGATATAAACCATGAGTATTCTAATCAAGGAAAGGAGTAAAGTAATGAAGTTTTGATCCTAAAGAGGCTAATTGAAAAAAAAAAATTAAAAAAGGAGGCTAATTGTTTTTAAATTTTCAGGAAAGTGGATTTTGTTAACTTTCGAGGGAACATTTAAAATTTCTCCTGTTCAAAGATTAGTGGGCAGGGAGACTTCTGATTAGATAGCTACTGGGTTCTTTGTTCTAAGGTGGGTTGAATCTGATGAATCTCAGGTTCTTTAGGTTAAAGAATGTGATTGCTAACTGAAAGGTGAAAGTTTGAGTTTATCAAAAGGATTTTGGAAGAAAGGCCTTGTGGTCTAAAAAAGCATAGCCATTGAAAATTCTACAGCATGTACTTTGACATCTGTGTGGGATGGTTTGACTCAGTGGACTTAACTTGAGGACAGTTCCCCCCACAATTTCTCTTGGATTTTGATATCCTAGTATATATAGTGTTAGGGGCTTTATATTGTTGTTGGGAGGTAGGAGGAGAGATGGAGGAGAGTTATTTTGTTTTTGTTGTTGCATATTATCGAGTTAGAACCGACCCATAGTGGGTTCCACTGGGGAACCCTCCAGTGAATTTTCAGAGGCACTTAATGATGCAGAAGGAGATTGCCCATTCTTCTCCCATAGAGCAGCTGGTGGATTAGAACGTGTGTCTTTGGGATTGCAACAGTTTCTTTGCACTAGGCCACCAGAGCTCCCAGAGTTGTTGGGAGGTAGGAGATGGAGAAGAATTGTTATTTTAATTAGGTGTAATTACTTAAGGTTTGCAGTCTCATGTCTGTGACTAGAGCTCCACTCATACCCAATATAGTTGTTTTATGTTGTATGTTGTTAGGTGCCATAAAGTACAACTCATAATGACCCTATGAACAATAGATCTAAACTCTGCCCTATTCTCTGCCGTTCTCACCATCTCTGGTACAGAAGTCTTGTTTTTTGCTGACCCTCCACCCTTTGAAGCCTAATATCCTTTTCCAAGGAAAATAGTCTCTCCTAACAATATGTCCAAAGTGTGAGAGATGAAGCTTTGCCATCCTTGCCTCCAAGGAGAACTTCATTCATACCTTCTCCCAGAAACACCTGTTTGTTCTTTTGGCAGTCCGTGGTATATTCACTGCTCTTTTCCATTACCATGACTCAAAGGCATCAATTCCCTGTCATCCATATAGAGTAAAATAAAATAGTTGTGGGTTTTTGTTTGTTTTTTAATGAAATAGTTTTTGAGGCTTACGTTTCCACATCTAATTACGGTATCAAAATTATAGTCCTATTCAGAAATTAATTTCTTCATTATTTTTTATCTCTTTAAGATATGCTCCTATTATTAAAATGTTTTTGTTAAGGTTATCTCTGTGTCATATATAAGTAATCTCAAATTTAATGGCTTCTGGGATCGCCAGATCTCAGAGGAGGTGCTGTGTTTCGTATTAGTTTATAATAACCAGTCCATGAGGATACTGAACAATGTTCTTGAAGGTTTTCCTGCCTTCTATCTTCTGCATAGTCTTTATAAGTATTTTTGTAAGTCTAAAATAATACATTTTCATAAAAATCATGATGTTTCTGGTTGGCTTTGGTGATTTGCTCTGACTACTAACTTAAAGGTTGATATTTTTTTGGAAAAAAAAACAACCAGAACAAAACAAACCAACAAAAAAAGAAAGATTTTCTCCTTACAAGAAAGTCCTAACTATTAATTCATTTATGTAAAGATTATCACTAAGATGCCCTTACAGAATTGGAATCTTTTTTTTTTAAAACAAAAGTCACATAAACATGATAATACTGTGAATTTTTGAAGAGCAGGTATAATTTTGTTCAATATATTTTTTTCTTTAGTCTTTACATTAGTTCAGGTAACTGTTGTTCATTTATTACTAATTACTTTTATGTTTATAATCTTGATGACATTGAAATACATACTCTGATCTTTTAGGGTGGAATAGTTAATGATGGTTCAGAATTGATTGGCCCTGCTGAAGCTTATTCAGATTCTCTCCTTGATAGTTTTGCTACAGGTAGTACAGAAGGTAAGAATTTGTCATTTTTCAATTTCGCTGGTTTTAATTGCCGAAGGCTATAAGTCCTATTGTATGACAAAAAAAAGTAGTTGGATTTAAGAATTTGAGAGTGTTTCATTGGTTCCAGAATGCTTTTTCCTTTTTATTTTAATATAACTGATGATGGGTTGCATCTTGTACTTGGGGATATATTTGATTGGCAGCCTCCCCCCCCCCAAAAAAAAAGTGGTATATAAAGTACTGATTCAGTGTAAAACTATTTGGTCCTTAGAGTTGATGAAATGTTTATCAAACATTGCCCTGTGCAAGACTGTCTCACTGAAGTACAATGCACAACGTTACTGTTCTAGCTTTTAGAGCACTTCAAAATTGGCTTTGAAAATTTAGTCTTTTATGATCCTGAAGGTGCGAATCCACCAGATGCTCTGCTGGAGAAGAAGGGACAGTCTCCTCCTGTGGCAGTCAGATCTGATTCAACAGTACACAACAAGAATGGGGGGGGGGAAGAAAAAAAAAAGAAAATTGAGTCATTTATCCAAAAAGAATAAACCCAAGACAATTGTAGTTTTAGTGCTTTTGATTACTTTTAAAGTAACGAGTCTAAGAGAAAACAGTTTTTATCATTCTAATCACTTTAATTCTGGAATGCTTGATTTTGGTTTTTAATCTTCTATTAAGCTAAACTGGTTTTGTTGTTTATTTTTTAAAGGCCATATTTGCATGCATATAGGCCTTTGGGTTTACTTTGTTTACTGATTTCCAACAAAGATTTTTAATTATTAGGAAAGATTATGGAATTTAAAAAAAAAGATTTGAGGAGAGAAGTTGTGGGAGTCTTTTAAAAGAAAATGATAGATCTGTTTGAAGTGATTTAAATTTAGCTCTTTTAAGGATAAAAACAAAAGATTGTATAGTGTTCTTGATCTTTTTCATAAGTAACAGTTTATGGTAGAAGAAGCTGTTTATGACTCAAAATGAGAGATAGCTATAGTAATCTCATTGTTTGTATGAGGTTATGTACCAATTTCATATTTGAAGAGCCATGCTAAGAGAGACCTGTTTGAGTCTATTCTCTATTGATTTGGTACCTTTTCGTTGCGTGGGTTGACATACATAAAACATTATTTCTTTTGCTGCTCCCACATTGTCAAGTAATTAGTTAGCTATTTATATGATGGCTTCTCAGACAAGCAAATTCTATGCAATATATGGGATTCACTTGCTGAGAGGTCTCCATTGAGCTCCCAACAATATGAATCTGTCCTAATTCACTCAGGGCTATAGAAAAGCATTCTTTTCATTGCTTTTGAATTGGAGCTGACTAATAGCTGCAGTGGATTTCTGAGGCTGTATATTGAATGAGCGATTTTTCTGTCTTTTTCGCTTGGTGGATTTGAACTGCCAGAGAAGCATCAACTTTGGTTTAGCAGTGCAACTCTCTACAGACTACACAACCAATGTCCCTCCCCACCCCCCCAAAAAAAGCATTGGAGACAGTGATTGTAATATCTAAATTGAAAAAAAAAGGCTCACAAAATATTCTCCTTGATTTATTTTGGATCAGAGATTCTTAATTAAGCTTTTAGAAATTTATGCTCCAGCCTGGGGTCTCAAGAGGACTGCATTGCTGTAATTATTATTATTTTAATGTTGATTTTCTTAGTTATTAGTGCTACTGTAGTGTAACTGAAGTACCACAGATGAGTAGCTTTAAAAAATAGATTTATTTAATCAGTGTTGAGAAGGCTGAAAGTTCAAATTCAGTGCTCTGGTTTGGAGGCAATCAAATCTTTTTGATGTCAGCTCACAGTGAGCAAGGTCCTTACCTCCTTTCAGTGTCTTGGCTTGGTAATTTTGGGGGATCTCTGTTCATCTGGATATTTGTCTTTTCCTTGTTTTAGGAGGTTCTCAGTGCTCTGACCTTGGATCTAAAGGATGAATCTGTTTCTGGCTCTTCTTCCTTGGTGTTAGACCCTTTGCTCTCTGCTTCCTTCTCTCTCCTCTTAACTCCCCAAAAGTATAAAGTGATGTAGACTTCATTTCTAGGAACTCTACTTACATTAGCTTAGGACTGTGGCCTGAGTCAGGGTGTGGTTTCTTATCCTAATCCCCTAACAGTTGATTATATTAGATCACATCAGGAGGGTGAGTACACCAACATAACTTCCAAATCACTGAGGATCCTGGCCATCTAAGCTGATACGTGTTTTTCCAGGGTCACAATTTAATCATGACTTTTTTTAGGATATCTTGATTTTGTTGCTTTAGATTTCCTACTTTTAATAAGAAGAGAGATGATGTTTGCCCAGATACTATGGCATTTGACAGAAGAGGATATTGTGTTAGAAGCCTTCAAGTAGACTATGACTCAGAGCCTTGCTCTATTCTGTGCCATCCTCATCATCTCTAATATACTCAAACCCATTCTTAGTCACTGTATTGATCCATGGTGTTGAGAGTCTTCCTCTCTTTTGCTGACCCTGCACCTTTTCAAGCATGATATCCCTTTCCAAAGAATGCCTCTTTCTAATAACATGCCTAAAATATGTGAGATGAAGTTTTATCATTCTTGCCTCTAAGGAGCAACCTGTGTACACCTTCTTCAGGACATACTTGTTATTTTGGCGGTCCATGGGATAGTCAGATCTCTTTTCCATTGGTACAACTCAAAAGACATTGATTCTTCTATCATCCTTATTCATTGTCCAGCTCTCAGTTAGATGCATAGGAAGTAATTGAAAAGACCATGACTTACCAGCAGTCAGGAAATCAAAGTTGAATTGCTTTGGGGAAGTCTGCTCAGGGACCTCTCCAAAGGACAAACGAACAACGATGTCAGTCTGGAGAATCAGGTGTGCTTTATTCTGGCTATGGTTTTCATAGTTACTTGCTGCAGAGATCTGGACAGTGACTAGCCATGGCAGAAGAAGAATCTATGCCTTTGAAGCTAAGAGAACAAACAAGTCTTTTGAAGAGAGGATGAATCCATGCTGCACTGTTTAATATACTTTGGGCATGTGGCCAAAAGGAACCAATCCTTGGAGAAGGACATCATGCATTGAAGTATGGCGGAACAGTGCAGGAGAGGAAGACCCTGGATAAAATGGATTGACGCAGTAAATAGGGTAATGGAGGTAGATGTGTTGGAGACAGTGGGACTGGCTCAAGCTAGGGCAAGGTTCAGAGCTGTTATACATAGGGTAGCTATGAGTTGCAGGCAACTTGATGGCACATAACAACCGTGGTAGTTAAGGGTATATAGTCAGTGTTCTCATTTAAACACTATCACTTTTCTCCTTGATTATCTCCATTATATTGTAGGAGATGGCTACCTTATAACCACATTTTCCAGAACATTTGTCAGCACAAATTATATATACCAAGAACTTCTGAAAAAATTTAAGGCAAAAGGAATCAAAGACATACTAATGATTTTTTTTTTTGTTTCTTTTAATAAATATTGGGGGGAAAAAAAAGAAAAGACCACGACTTAAAGCAGGTGCACCTTAGTCTCTAAATTAACATCATTGCTCCTTAGCACCTTCCCTTTGAGAAGACAAATTGTTGTTGTTGTTATGTGCCGTCGAGTCGCTTG